TATCAACAAAATTGATTTCTTCCACAATTGCTTCAACAAATTCATCTCCGATCACGGAATTAGTTTCTTCTTCAATTTCTTCAATAAATTCCTCTTCAACCAAGAAATTTATTCTTTCACAAAATTCCCCTTCACCATCGGTGTCGTAGATGGGACCGAAATCTTCTTCCTCCTCTTCTTCAACATATAGCTTGCGCAACATTTTTGGATAACAACTCAGTTCAAACAAACTTAGCAGAATTTCTTTTGAACAAACCCAATCGGAACTAGGCTCTGATACCACTTATGATACGTGTATGGGCTTGATTTAGTGAGTGGGGTAATTTTTAGGTAAATTAAGAGAGAATAACAACCACAAATGATATGTGAATGGAAAGAAATGGATAGATTAGTAACAACTCAAGACCTATTAAGTTGTATACCGGTGAAAACGATCCAAGACCTATTGGATTGAGTTCGTATCAAGTCAAGAACACGTCCTAACAAGATAATTTGTGAATTATAACAATAATTCCAATTGAACAAAGGTTTTTTTCTTAAAAATTCGTCTATTCACTTTCCCATGCATAAACTTGGCTTTATATGAAGCCTTTATTACAAACATGCCAACCAACCAATTATTCATTAAAACTAGTAAATAGAAATTAAGGTAACTCTTGAAAGAACACAAAAAAAAAAAACGTCCATGAGACTTGTGAATGAAAAAAAAAACGGCTATGCTTGCTTAAGGAGCCATAAGAAGCATTAAGGAGTCATCGTAAGCATTAAAGTGTAACCCTAATCCACCAAAGAGTGTCAAAAACGGCTAGGAGGCTTTATGAAGCAAATAGTAACGTTTTTAGCACTTATGAAGACTTAAAAATGTTGCCCTAGTCTTCATGCAACCTTAATTGAATTTGTGGGTTACCATGCACAACCCAACCATTGAGCCCAAACCACCTTCTAGCCCACTAGTAATCACTAATCCATCACATTTTGGGCTTTCATGATCCATGCATGGATCATCCCTTCCCCCTTTGAAAGGAATTGACCTCAATTCATCAAGTCCATCATCATCAAGATAAGGTGAAAGATCTCCCACATTAAAGGTAGCATGCATTCCATGGTCTCCTCCCAAATCCACCTTGTAACCATTATCATTTTCATAATTTGTCACTTCCACACATGTATCACTAAGGTCTGCCAGTTGACGCTCCACGTCAAGAAGTTGTCGTTCGTAGACTCTCTGGCGAACCCGGAGCTCTATAACTTCAACCCGAGTCTCAGCTAGTACTTGTAGTAGGGCCTCGTGGCCCGTCGCAGACTTCTCCCGAGCATGCTCTAGGTGGCTGGTGCGAATGGAATGCATTCTTGCAATTGCATCAATCTCCATGATGCGATGGAGAGTTGTCTTGCCCTGGATTTCGTTTCGGGCAACCCTTCAGACCAGGATTGGCAAGACTATGTCTGCTGAGCCTCCTTCACTCAGGTCATAAAAGCTTCGGTCTCCATTGAATGGCATGTGCTCATTTTGCTCTTCGCCCCATGTTTCTATGCATTCCACCCATGTAGGCATCGGGCCTTGAAAAGCCTGACGAGGGTTAGGATTTGGAACCAGAGCCACAGGGGTAGGTTGTTGTAACAACCCGAAGTTTTCCATCGTCGAAAAACCCATTCTACCTGTAAAAATTCACCGTTAGTCAATTCGTTTCGTTTCCATTTTGGGTTAAATTAATTAAATTTATATATTTATTTTAATCCATTGAGTGTTCAAACCCCTTAGGAACTCATGAATCTAGCCCAAAAATGTTTATTTCAAAAAGTTTAGAAACATCCCCGCCGAGTGACGGAAACTTAATCGGGTGCGACCAAAAGCCCCGTTTAAGGTCAGTATCGGGTAGAATTCCACCGTGTCCAAGTTTTAGGACCTATATAAACGTGTTTAAACACCCATTTGAAGCTTTTTTCTTCCTCTCGCTACTCTCTCTCTAACCTCTCTCCTAAATCCAAAGTTAAGGGTCCAAATTATTAATTTAAGGCTCCAAATCTTTGAGGTACCTTCCATAACTTGTTTTACAACCTCTCTAGCTTTAGAATTCGAGTTTAAACAATGGATTAGGACCATTATTATGAGTTTACGGCCCTAGAATAGTCCTAGGCCGTAAACTCAAGTAAATGGGGGGGTTTTTAGAGCAACAAAACCCTTGCAAACCTCAATTAGACCTTAGATATGGCTAAATGACTTTATGGAATGGACTTAGAATGCCTTAAACCATAATTTGAAGCATTGTATATGAGTTTACGGCCATGGAAGGTGCCTAGGCTGTAAACTCACATTTAAAGGGGTTTTAAGCCCTTAAACCCTCCCTAAACTCAATCAAGCCCTAGTTATGATTTTTAGAAATTATGTAATGGACTTGGAACTCATTAAACATCAACTTTGAGAGGTTTGTATGAGTTTACGGCCAAGGCATATGCTTGGGCCGTAAACTCCTCAAACATGAGTATAAAATCACTTCTAAAGTGTTAGAATGCCATCCAACACCACCAAAAGTCTTGGGATAAATTAGGGAACCAATCAAAAATAGTTTAGAAGCCTTAAAAACATCATAAACCCTCTAATTGAGAGTTTACGGCCAGAGTACATGCTCCAAGGCACTCGGACAAACAACAGGATACTCTAAGTCCACAACCAAACAAGGAATAGGAAATAAAGTGAGTTGGTAGTCCTAAGTCCTTCAACCCAAAATTATATAACTATATATGTAATAGACATGGTTTTAACAAATATAAGTTTGAAAGCTGTAATAGAAAAGGTTTGATACATAAAAGTGAGTTTAGTAAAGAGTTTAACATGTAAAAGAGTTTGATAAGCAGTTTCAAGTCATTTGTTTAGTAAAATAGTTTGAAAGTATAGTAAATCCATATGTTTGATAGTTATTAATCACATGTGATTGATATAATAACTATGATATTCAACTTATATCCCCCCCCCATAAAAGCATTTAAAATCATTTAAAAGGTTGATTAAGGGGTATAAACTCACCTGTAGTGAGTGATGTGATTGTAAGATCGGTTTAGAAAGTTGAGTGTCAATTGCGGACTTGAGCACAAACAAATCCTATTAACCATATAATGACATATATGTGTATACACTTAGTGCTTGTAACAACTAATTATTGAATTGGGACCAACTTAGGGACTAGTAAACACTTATATTGAAGTGTTACAACCATATATATTTGTATATGAGGGGTATATGGCTATACAAGGGAGTGTATGGTCAAAATACACCATATTATTGTGTGTGTGCGGCCGCACACTCCCCATGAAGTGTGTAAAAATGTACTTTGAGGCCTTAGGACTCATCTAGGAAGGTTTCTTACTTTATGTTCTAGCCATATATGGAGTTCGTTGCCACTTTAGGACTTAAAAAGGGTGTGAATGGTTGAACAGGGTGTGTGCGGCCGTACACAGGGTGTGTACGGCTGTACACACTTGAAGATCATGAGAAATGGCATTTTTCAGGTAAATATTCAAGTGTTCTTGGCCTATAACAAGTTATTAATGAATCAAGGAAGCAATACTCACTTATTTTGAAGATTTGAAGATGAATGTGGATGATACTTGAGAGAAAACGAGTTCCAGCTTTGAAGGAGTGGTAAAAGTGTTCAAAAACGACTAAGGGTCTTATTTATAGGAGGGAGTGTGTGGCTGGGATGGGTGTGTGGTTGTACACTCATGTGTATGGATCAAACCTCATGGGATGGGTGTGTGGTTGTACACTCATGTGTGGTTGTACACTCACGAGTCTAACATTGGTTGAATTGATTTACTGAACAAATAGAAATTTCAGGCTGTCACATATTACCCCAAGGCCTCCTCGGTCTTCTTAGACTTGGTTTTTGTCTGAATCAAAGTCAACGAGTTGCCGGAATTTACGGTTGGTACGGACCTGGAAAAATACTTGGAGTGGGAAAGAAAAATTAAACGCATGTTCGAGTTCAAAGATGTGGATGATGAAAAGGCATGTAAGTTTTCCATCTTGAAACTTTGTGGTGGTGCCTCTTTGTGGTTCCAAGGGCATAAGGCCAAGAAAATATGAGAGGGTAAAGACAAATTTGCATCGTGCGAATCATTAGAAAGAAAGTTAAGAAAAAGATATGTACCAATTAATCACCGCATGACAACCTATAGAAAAATAGTCAAGTTGAAACAAGGCAAAATCAATGTGGCTGAATATATAGACGAATTTGAAAAATTGTCACTTATGGGTGATATTGATGAAGTCAGGGAGCAAAAAATGTCTCGGTTTTTTTTTTTTTTTTTTGGAAAGAGACAAAAGTCTTAGGCAAACTTTATTAAAGAAGAATAAAAGAATTACAAAGAAAAAATAAAAATGACTTACAACCCACAGAAAACAAACCAAAGGCTAAACCCACTCCAACCTATCCAAATCTATATGCTTAGCCATTTCCTACTACAACCTACACACCAAACTCTAGCCCAAAAAAGGAACTGTTGGCGCAAACAATCTCCTCAACCATAAGACAAACCACTCTACCACCTATCTCGAGAACAAAGTTCCCAAACACCAAACTCATAATCCAATCAAAATACAACTCAAAAAGACAAACCCAAAAAAGACTCAATCTACGAGACCATAAACCAGAAGGCATAAACCAAATATACAAAGACTTCCTCATATGGAACCAAATCCATAACCTTAAAAAGCTGGAGTAGCACCACAAAACCAAATTATTTAACCACCAACAAAGCTCCAATAGCCCTATCGAAAACTTCACGGCACCTCTACCAAACAGATCACACATCATGAGAGATAACCATATTTTTTGGACTAATCCCATCACAAACCTGATTAGAACATTCCATTCCCTCACCCGCCAACTTCTTATTACTAACTTCAGAGGGTAACTTCTTCATTTTATATTCTCCTTTGGTGTTAATAACATAATTGACCCCATGAGAATTAACATAACTCGGACCTGGATCAATATGAATCAATTTTCTAGCCCACCAAAATCAGACTTAGAAGAATCAACTCGATGGCTCATGAAATCATCCTTTACCATGCCCACAATTTCATTAGTAATATCACTTAAAACAACAAAACAGTTCAATGTATTAACAAAATTGTTCTCCTTTTGGCTACCCTTCATACCCTTTCCCTTCTCGACTTCTACCTCTTTTTTCCCAGAGTCCTCACTTTCTTTCCCATTATACCCCTGCTTATCTACAATGAGAGGTTTATTATTAGCAACAACAAACTCGTGGTTCTTTTGATGATTCCAATGGCTAACACTCCCCTTATCCCAATTCCCACTATGAATTCTGTTATTCCAACCTTTATTACCCTTATTACCACTATTATAGCTTCCTCTTTTGTTATTCCCACCATTCCAATTACTACCTTTGCTTCCAGAAACATTTGCCTGAACATCACCTGTACCATACCCCTTCACAACAACAGTCCCTACAATTCCAGCTTTTTTCGTGACCATAGTGTACCCATCACCATCTTTAACAATCACATCCTAAATATCACTCTTGATAGCAACATTTTTCCCATTTATAACAGCTAAACAGATAGAATCACCATGGCCATAAACTTTATAGGAGGAACAATCAGAAGGTTGCCATGCATATTCAACAACAAAATTTTGAATAACAACTTTATCCAAATCAAAATCCCGGGTACCAACATCAATACTATCTTTCCACTATTTATCAGCCGACATATCAACTAGGATCCTCGCATACACATTTCTCCCTTTGTGCTCAATACACATATCTTCTATAATAGAATCAAAAGCCAGAGGAATACCAATCTTACTAGCAATGATGCAAAGATTCTCAGCACCCCGCGCTTCCAATGGAAGATCAAAAATCTTGATCCAAACAGGTACACTTTTATGGGAGTCCTTAGTGAGAGCCAACCCCGGTTGCCACCGCTAAATGAATATAGGATATTTATTGAGAATAATCCAAGGGCAATTATATAATATCTGCCTCATTCCTTGTTCTGAGTTGAATTTAAAGAATAAGAATCCTTTACTATTCATGAATACATCTTCAAGACCCATATTCTTCCACATTTTCCTAACTTCTGCACTAATCACTAGAAATCCAATCTTCTTGTCAAGCAAATAACCATACAAGGTATTCATAAAAGGAATACTTGCCTTCTTCAGATTCTCAACTGGCAAAACAACAGGCCCCTCATCAGATCCATCAATTGGAGGAATAAACTTAACTTGCAACTTCCCTTTATGAGTTCTACCATTTAGAGCTCTAGCATATGATATATTCTGACCAGAACCAACTTTATCCTTAATATCAATCAAAATTTTCTCTCCTTTATAATTTGAAGCATCCATATCTTGCCTTCCCTTACTAGCATCACCTAGAATAGAAGGCTCCAGGTTGATGCTATTAATAACCGTGGCAGTCTTCTTCAAAGACAAATGCATATCAGAGCTTAAATTATGTGGACCGTTATCCTTGATCTCCCCTTCTTCTTTACTCAAATCAACATCATTATCAACCACCAAATTACTACTATCATCCCATTTATAAGACTTGTTCAGATTATCTAAATCACCATTATTCTCAACTGAATTCTCCTTTTCCATAGTCTCATCACTTAGAAAATTAATCCCAATACCAGGTATAAACTCATTCTCTGTATCATCCATCCCCTTTTCCTCCTTATTCATCTCCTTACTCTATACATAAATACCAATAACCTCAACCTGAACACCAATCTTGTTCATCTCAGGAGCAGAATCAATATTAACAGCAATAGGAGGACTAACATTAATCATATGACTCTTTACTTGATTAAAATAAAAAATTAGAGCTACAAATCACAATCGCATCCTTAGGAATTTCCCAATGCTTAGATAGGTTTGCAGTGTTATCTGAAGGAATGGAATCCTCTTGAATGCTCGGAGGCAAATCCTTGGTCACTTCATCCATAACATTGGAACTAGAACCCTTGATCGAAGCTTGACAAGCAACCCTAGAAGTACTAGAATCAAATTCCCACACACCATCAGATTCTGATGCATCCTCCTTTTCTTCTTTTGTAACATCATCCATATAGTAATCCTCAGCATCCATAGGAGTTCTGAAAAGAGAATTGCCTCGATTAGGCTTCCTAGCTTTACGCATACCCTCTAATTTCCACTCCGCTTTCCCGATTCCGACACAACAGCTCCAGTAGCACTTGGCTTTCGTTGGGCAGGATAGATAGTAGTCGAAGCCTGATCAACAACTCCCGGAGGAATAACATCGCTTAAATCGACCTCAGTTCACACAAATCGACCTATCACACCTCTATCAGGAGGCTTAAACTTCACATCCTTCAATCGATCCTGCTTAGAAGAAGCTCCCATCGCAACAACATAAATGATGAGAAGATACTTCAGCAATGAGACGATAAATCTCACTGGTGAAGCAACTATAACGAAACAAGCAAAAAACGCACCGCCGATTAAAGAGAATTGTAGAGAGAGAAAGGTGTCACACCCCGAAAACCTAAGGCGGAAACATTTCCGGGGCGGACTCTATGTTGAGTATCAAATCCAATGCACATAGTAAGCAAAGTAAACAACCATTACATTACATATCAAAGTTTACATTTGTTCAAAAGTAAAGTTGTACATTTGTGATACATAGTATATATGATCAAAAGTATAGACGAGTCTTCTGTACGCTCCGTCTTCTCCAAAAGGATCGCTAGGTACCTATCTAATGTTGACCAGAGAATACAAGCAGTTGAAAATCAGCATAAAGTTGGTGAGTTCATAAGATGTTTGTTTTTTTTGGAAATGTACGAGTTCCCTTTTAGTTTTCCGAAAAGATTGCTATCCAAGAAAATCCTATATTTTCTTATATGTAATACTTGATTAACTGTTTTATTACACAAATCTGGTTATGTACAATTGTTATCCCAGGAAAATCCTATATTTTCCTAAAGGTAAGTTTAGTTATTGAATTTCGATGTCATGTTTGATTACCTTTTGTACTTGTTATATTAGCTAGGTATTCTGATATCCTAATGGTGTTACACTTGAATGTATCTAGATGCGTGCCTTCGTATTCGTATTTCTATTCTTAATCATATTCATTTTTATGTTTTTATATTTGTATTCGTATTTATATTTGTAGTCCCATTCGTATTCGTATTCGCATTCGTATTTGTATTCCTACTCCTAATCCTAATCCTATTCGTATTCGTATTCGTATTCGTATTCGTATTCGCAGTCGTGTTCGTATCCCTATTCCTACTCCTAATACTATTCGTATTCGTATTCGTATTCGCATTCGCAGTCGTATTTGTATCCCTATTTCTACTCCTAATACTATTTGTATTCGTATTCGTATTCGTATTCGCAGTCGTATTCGTATCCCTATTCCTACTCCTAATAGTATTCGTCTTCGTATTCGTATTCGCATTCGCAGTCGTATTCGTATCCCTATTTCTACTCTTAATACTATTTGTATTCGTATTCGTATTCGTATTCGCATTTCCAGTCATATTCGTATCCCTATTTCTACTCCTAATACTATTCGTATTCGTATTCGCATTCGTATTCGTATTCGCATTCATATTCGTATTCCTACTCCTAATCCTAATCCTATTCGTATTCGTATTCGAATTCGTATTAGTATTCGTATCCACATTATTATTTTAGTATTCCTATTTGTTCTATTCCTAGTTATAATTTCGTATTCGTTCTATTCCTACTTGTACTTTCGTATTCGTATTCGTATTCGTATTCGCATTAGTTCTAATAGATAATTAGTATGAATTATTCGTAGATTATAAAATATAATTTAGATTGTAACATTTTATCAAGAAATCTATGATTAGTTTGAAAGCTAATTTCGTAATTCGAACTATTTGATAAACACAATTTTTGATATTAAAACATAGAGAATGAAAACAATTGAACTGAAAATAATAAGTCTAAGTACAAGATTTCCTTGTACTTTTGCTTGTATCCCCCCTAAAAACAGTGAAAACATTTGAAAAAGGGTAGGGGTATGAACTCACCGGTTGAGGAACGTGTCGGTTTGGATCCTAACGTCAGTTCTGGGTTTGCAAACGCACAAGATTCCTATGTATCATGACATGATACATATTTGTATTTAATTAGGACTTGATTAATTTATTTTCTAAGGACATACACTTCTTGTTGCGGAAACACCCCATTACAAGTGTTTGGAGGGACCCGGGTGACATTTGGGGACACGTGAGGTTTGGATATTGAGTTTACTCTTCAAGAGTAAACTCATACAAGAGTTTTCACCCCTATATACCTCATCCACATGATTTCACGGCCGTGAACTCATGGATGGTAATTTTGGGTGCAAAATGGCTTCGTAACTCTCGGGAATAAATGCTAGACTTGGATTTTTGGCTTTGGAATGGATTAAAACTCACATAGGGACCATTTATTGGAGTTTACGGAAGTAAACATGGATTTTACGGCCAAAAATTCCCCGTCACTCTAAGTCCTTGTTGATTTGGGTCGTTAATCAATCACATGTGATTCCAATTGATTTTTCTAAGCCTTGTATGGATTTTGGGTGACTTTTGGCATGTCTTTAGGAGTTTACGGCCCATGACTCCTCCCACGGCCATGAACTCCTTAAGGAGGTTGTTTTAATATGTTTTAGGTTTCTAAATTGTTTGTGGACACTTCTAGAATTTGTCCCAAGGCCTAAGGTGTGTTTAAGTGGCATCTTAACACATTTAGAGGAGTTTACTCCCCCATGCTAATGAGTTTACGGCCCAAGCATGTTCTTGGCAGTAAACTCAAGTTTACTCCTCTAAATTGATGTTCAAGGTGCTCCAAGTCCATTTCCATAATTCTATAAGTCATATCTAAGCGTCAATGGTGTTTTGCAAGGGTTTTAAGGCATAAAAAACCGTTGAATATGTGTTCACGGCCCAAGGGTGTTCCAGGGCTGTAAACACATGATTTTGGTCCTATTCCATGATTTGAACTCGAATTTGTAGATCTAACATGCTATACTAGGAGTTAGGGTGGTTACCTTGAAGATTTGGGGCTTCAATTTGGTGTTTTTGTACCTTAATCTTGAGTTAGAGGAGAGAGGTTAGAGAGAGAGTAGTGAGAGATAGGAAAGGCTTCAAATGAAGTCTTTTGAGCTTTAAATAGGTCGTAAGTTCGGGACATGGTGGAATTCTACCCAATGCCGACGTTAAACGGGGCTTTTGGTCGTACCCGATTAAGCTATCGTAATCCGGCGGGATAGAATTTAGAATTTTTCAAATTAATTAATTTGGCCATGTTCAAGAGTTTTTAAGGGATTTGAACACTCATGAGATTATATGTTTAAATAACTCAGTCCAAAAACGAGATCAGAACGAATCGCTATAGACGGGTTCTTTGGACGAAATGGGTTTTGGCGATGGACAACTTCGGGTTGTCACATTATCCCCCCATTAGAGGGAATTTCGTCCCGAAATTCAAACTTTAGATACGATGTAAGGATTCGGAAAGAAATATGGATACTTCTACTTTGTTGGATTGTCGCGCTCACAAGTGAATTCGAGTCCCAGTGTGGCTTTCTGGCGAATCTTCACTGTTGAGATATGACTTTATTTCGTACGTTTGGTCTTTCGTTCTATAGTTTCGATTGGTTCTACCATGGGGTTCAAACTTTCACTGATTTCGGTCTTATAGAAGGGATTTCTAGGGTTTCATCGGGCAGATGCTCCTTAAGGACAGAGACGTGGGATACCGGATGGATGCCTAAGTCCTGAGGGTAGTCGGAGTTTGTAGGTTACGAAATAAATCCTAATGAGGATTTCAAAAAAAATTATGTTCCTTGGGATACACGTTTCAGAATGTAACACGCCATCTTTCTCATTATTTGCTACCTTGATGGTGGACGTTTCAATTACTAATTGAGGACTATGTTTATGAAGAAGCAGAAGGGTTGTCGAAAAGGAATATACCTGAGGCAACTGTGGGATCGGCGGCTGTCTCACCTTGTCCTATAGCTAGGACTCTTCCAGTGTTGCCAGTTGTTGCTGCATTAGGGCAGTTTCTCTTATAATGCCCGACTTTACCGCAACTATGACAGACCTGACTGATGCCCGCTCTAGAAGCTTGATTTGTTGGTGTTCTGCAACTCCACACAAGGTGACCCTCTTGGCCACAATTTTTGCAAAATTTCACACGACAAGGACCGGGGATGTAGTGGTGGTAACTGCACTGGTTACACCACGGGAGAACACCGGCATATCTGGTGATAGGTGCTTGGGCTGGGAAACCTACGACAGAAACAGTAGCAGGGGTAGTGGCAGCGTGGACCGTCACCATCTATTGTTTCTTCGTGAACTCTTGTGAAGGTTGACATTTCTCCCCCGCCTCCCAATACTTTCTTTTCTCACAACTTCTTTATGTAGGCTCAAGAGTGGTGGCTGCTTCCTCTACATCCTCACTATGGTCGATCAAGATTTGTGCTAGGCGTTTGGCGCTATCGTATGTATCCGGCTTCACAGCTAAAACGTTCCCTTTGGTTGGCTGGGTCAACCCCCAGATGAACCTCTCTACCTTTTTGCTTTCCGGGGTAACCATTCCCGGACAAAGAAGCGCCAAGTCGTCAAACCTGATGTGTAGGTGGCGATATCGGAACCTTTCATCTTCATGTTCCAGAGTTCATGCTCCAGCTTCTGAATTTCACCCTGAGGGCAATACTCTGCGTGCAGAAGTTCCTTCATAACTTCCCAACCCATAGCATTGGCTACAGGTAGAGTTAGGGATTTGACTCGGCCGTTCCACCAAGTCAGAGCTTTATTGGTGAGAGTGCAGACGGCAAACTTCACCTTGTCGGATTCTGAACAAGCACAGATCTCGAAGACATATTTGATCTTCTCTAACCACCAAGTTAGAGCTATGACACCTCCTGTGCCATCGAAGAATGTGGGTTTTGCGTTCATAAAGTCTTTATAGGAACACTCCTTTAGGTGTCCCTGGCTATCTTCCTGGTTTTGAGGCTGGGGACCACCTCCTGAACTACCGGGATTCGTTTGCGATATGGCTGCTGTAAATGTTGCAGTTAAAACCGTCTGAAGGGTTACCATATCGATTTGAAGAGAAGGTGGTGGTGGGGGAGGGTTGTTATTAGCCTTTGAGCAGGGTCTCTTTCTTGGAGGCATCTTGATCTAATAAGATCTGGAAAGAGAGGATGGTAAGTCCTCTGAATTGAATCAAGAGATATGATACAAGGGATATCTCTTTATGATAGACATAGAATTCTATTAAGCGATAAATCAGGAAGGAGTTATCAAAACAAACAAATTATCGCTAAAAGAATGATTGAGGAGCAACGCTGGGATGAGGATTTCTACAATGGA